TGATACGGTCAAAATTTGGTCAATATCAACTTGACGTATTTCTTTCAATTTTGCATTTAAAAAACCTGAACACCCCTCATTTTGAAGGTGTGTGTGTGTAGAATGTTGCTCCTATTTTGATTTTGGAATTCACTCTTCAGTTGTCAAATTGCCGTCCAAGCAAGAAGAGCAGCGTATCAAAATTTTGCTCGCGCATCGCGAAAATCCGAGGTACTCGCACGCAAAGTTGGCAAAATCGCTAAAAGTTGCCAAATCAACCGTTACAAATGTAATTAAAGTGTTTGGGGAACGTTTGTCGACAGCCAGGAAGTCTGGATCGGGGGGAAATCGAAAACCGGAAGCCGCTGAGACGACAAAGAGAGTTGCCGGTAGTTTCAAGCGAAACCCTAACCTCTCTCTCCGAGATGCCGCAAATAAGCTGGGTGTATCGTCTACAACCGTGCATCGAGCCAAAAAACGAGCCGGGCTATCGACTTACAAGAAGGTAGTGACTCCAAATCGCGATGATAAACAAAATACGACGGCCAAAGCGCGATCCCGGAGGCTGTACACGACGATGCTGACGAAGTTTGACTGCGTGGTAATGGACGACGAAACCTACGTCAAAGCCGACTACAAGCAGCTTCCGGGACAGGAGTTTTATACGGCAAAAGGAAGGGGAAAGGTAGCAGATGTTTTCAAGCACATGAAACTGTCAAAGTTCGCAAAGAAATATCTGGTTTGGCAAGCCATCTGTACCTGTGGCTTGAAAAGCAGCATTTTCATAGCTTCCGGGACTGTCAACCAAGAAATTTACGTGAAAGAGTGTTTGAATAAACGTCTGCTGCCTTTCCTGAAGAAACACGGTTGTTCCGTACTGTTTTGGCCGGATTTGGCATCTTGCCATTACGGTAAAAAGGCCATGAAGTGGTACGCCGCCAACAACGTGCAGGTGGTTCCCAAGGACAAGAACCCTCCCAACACGCCAGAGCTCCGCCCAATTGAGAAATACTGGGCTATTGTCAAGCGGAACCTAAAGAAGACCAAAAAAACTGCTAAGGGCGAGCAGCAGTTCAAGGCAAACTGGCTTTCTGCGGCGAAGAAGGTGGACAAGGTGGCTGTACAAAATCTGATGGCAGGGGTCAAGCGTAAGGCCCGGCAATTCGGATTTGGAAAAGCGGAAGCCTAACTGAATATGTTTCCTGAATTTTATACTAATTGAACTTGAAAAAGAAATTTAATTTGATTTTTTAAATAAACGATTTCACCGATTTACACGCGTTTTCCCTTGACCAAATTTTGACCGTATCACCCTTTAGTCTGAAAAGGAACGGTACTATCAGGCCGGAGGCGTCGATTCCCGGTCCGATCGAGGAAATCTTTCGGGTTTTTTTCGACTTCCCTGGGCATGGATTATCATTTTGATTGCCACACAATATACAAATTCATGCATTGGTTGGCAGGCAGAGAAAGCTCTCAAATAACAACTGCGGAAGTGCATCTAGAACATCTAAGTTGAGAGTAGGCTACACGCTCGCTACAGAAGCTTAATAGGCCTGGAAGAAGAATAAGGCATATGGTAAATTAGCACCTGAGGCGACCGACGAAATGCTTGGTGTGAGTATTTACGTCAATTACCACAAAGTACGGCTTGGTTTAGTTGGCTTCTTCAGTCGAGAGCAAAGTATAAGTAGGGGTAGACGGGGCAAGATGAGCATCCTTTAATTTTACATCGATTATCTTATATTTTTAGAAACTGCACATACGTACCTTAGGACAATGATTCTTAGATGCAACGTTCGAAAAATTATTTAGAAATATTCAATAACTATCAAGAAACTGATTAAAATGTGCTTGCCGAAAAAAATCTCTCTTTGTAATAAGAATTTGCAATAATCAAGAAAGCTAGGAGCTAGAAGAGAATTGAAAGTACTAGGGTAGGTAATGTTTAATGTATTAACTGCAATTATTGCACATACAATTGATGGCAACCTTAAGGTGGCCGTCTTGCCCCGTCTACCCCTACAGCGTTCGGGGAGCACTGAGAAATAAACAAATAACGATTAGGTATAGGAAATACGGGAGTGGACTGTGGGTAGAGCAAGCGGTTAAGTGTGTTGTCTGAAGTCCATTCGTGGCGAATGGGAGAGGAATGATTCTGCACCTATGTTATGCAATTTTTTACTGCCATACACGTGCGAAGCGCTCATTGTTTGATGTTACCCCATAAAAAAATCCTCCTGATTCCTCAAGATTAAGTAGGTTCGCGTCAGCATGTTCGACCAACCTTGGTGCAGATGAATCGACGACGGCTTGTTGCATCGACGTACACGCTAAGCTGCTAAACTAAGCAGAAATTCGGTAAAGAATACCTGAACATGGTTAAAAATTAGCAATAATCGCAAAAAGCGCACATACCTAAATTATCGTCAATCATGGATTACCTAATATTTTGGAGGCGAACCAGCCTAAGGCTGAAAGCCTCCTAAATAAAGCTAAATAATAATAATAATAATTACCTAATATTAAGTAAAAAATCTATACAAAACTATTAAAAAAAAGCCTATTTTAAGTGAAAAATTAACGCTCTAATCGGTGACTAATACCGATCATTTGTTACCTAAAATTTTTGCTCATCGTGTCATAGAAGTTGCCATTAATAGGGTGATTAATGCAGCGACGAAAACTTCTAACGAGCCACCCAATGGATTACCAGCATGGTCGATTTTCGCAACAGATGTCGCTAGTAACAACAATACGGCGATTTATTTTGTATGCAGAAAACTAGAAAATGATGATTATCACAAAATTAGAAACTTTTTCGAAAACAATATTTGGTTTACTTAATAGCTTTAATTTTTACCTACTGCCCGAGCAAAGTCGGTTAACAAAATGAAAGCAAATCGATATTAAAGATTGCAGTTCCTATCATAATGAATACTAATTTTGATTACAATTGTCACGAAATTAGTCTGATATCATATTGTGCTTTCATTATGCAGTCAAGACATTTTAAATGAAAGCAACTTAACTTGAAGTTCTGCTGTTAACGTCTTGTTTAAAATTTAAGTTAAGCTTATCTGTTGTTGAACTAACGATTATTGTTTAATTGTTTTGTTTAATACATTTTAGGTCATTCGTAACCAACTCGAGGTGACATTTGAGCTCAAGTCTTTCAGCGTGAGAAGCTTGGATGCTAACTATTTACACCAGGCCCGTATTCAGTCAAACATTATGAATGCAAAATCAGTAATCAAATTGATTTCATTGAAAGCAGGATTAGTTTTCCGTTTGATTCAATAGTGTAAAATTTTGCTCTCATTTTTGATGTGTTAACCGTTAAGTCAACCAAAATGAGATCAAATGGAGTATTCAAAATAAGTTACATCATAACAGCAAATTCTGATTTCAATTTGATCTCTAACTTTGCTCGGGTGGCCTACCAAATATTTTTTTTTCGCTTCAAAAATCGATATCGATACACTATTTCTTTTTTAAACTTTTTCACTTTGGTGGCGCCATGCTGTCAGTAGTTGTGAGATCAAAGCTGATAGCTTGGCCAATTCGGTAAAAATGATAGCTTTCCGGGTTTCTGTCGAAATAAATCACCGTAACATTTTTTACTATAGCAACAACTGAAAAGCAGTCCCATTATTAAAAACGACTGTAGGGTTATTTCGATTTCCTGGACACGATTTTCGACAAATGCAAACTTTTGATTGATTACACTCCCAACGAGCAGATGAGTAGACGAATTTTGATATAGCTATTCATATTCCCGACATAACTAACCTACACAAATCGCTCGATCGTTTATAGAGCCATAAAACGAGACTTTGTACTTGTGTAGACCGATAAATGATAACGACCTTTTCCAATACATGTGCTGATAACAAACGAGAACTTCACATGGTAACAGCATGACTGTCTCGTGCAACCCAGCTAAGCGTTATAGACGTATGTGTGTCTGTTGTTTCTAAAATAGTTACGTCGCTTCGTACAAAAAAAAAACTACAACAACCGGTTCGCAGTTCACTAGCCTTTAGGCTGGACAGCCATAATATTCTATTATGTGATCAACAGCGAACAACAGTATCGCAAATCCGCATCCAATTATGGAAGCTTGACCGTTGTTATTACTTGACGATTAACTTTTCGGTAGGTAGCATGTATTGACGCACTTTTGAATATTGATTTTGATGGTCATTTGCATTTGATCGCCTCGGGTAAGGTCAACCAATCGAACGATGACGATCGATTGGTGCGTCAAATGACACGTCACTTTGGAGATTATGCATGTCTCTGTACCAGCTAGGTGTTTCCCACATTGATTCATCATTTGAAAATATGAACTCAAAAACACACTAAAACATGCTTCAAGATTTTCTATGCGTGGGATGCAGCAATTACAAATCCTACTATCGCTGTGATCCAACTGATTATTCATGTACGTATGTTTGTAATAATAGCAACGGTAATCTAGAGTTTGAAGAGCACCAGGCAGGAAGTTAATTATAAAGCAATGACATGTAACGCATGCTACGCGAAATCTGCTGGAAATGTATGCAAACTCGCATGAAATGGGTTTCTGGATCACGAGCCATTACTTCAAACAAATTCTAGCGTCCCGAATCATAAGGGCATAACTGCGATGATCGATTCTCTTCATCGATTTTCTCTTCGCATTACTACAGTAAAGTAAACCAATTTTCCGAAATTGTTCCAGTACAGTGTACTAAAAGGATGTATTAGCCAGCAAAAACAACATCAAACGCCGAGTAACAAATAAACAAAAGAGAAAATCAATGAAGAGAATCTATCATCGTAGCTAGGGGCCCTTATGATTCTGAACGCTAGAAAAACAACAAACATTACACAATCTATGGCTTGTGCTAAACCTCTAAAAATTATTGAACTTGTATTCTGTAAACTCAGCGAAATTTAGGAAAAAGCAACACCCCTCCCCCCTCTTAGAGCGTGACGGAATGGATCGCCCTTGACTATTGTTTTCAACCACTTACTTATCAGGGCACGTAGTTGCTTGAAAAACACGGAGTTTACATGTGCCTTTGTCGTGCGTTTTTCCTTCTTGTCACTGATGAAGTACTGAATCTCATCTTCGGGTCGTTGTTTGCTGGAAAGTAGAAACAAGTAAGAATTAAAATTAGTGAAAGTACGCAAAAAAAAACTCGGAAGGAGGGAGCAAAATGCCCAATATACAAAAAAAGGGTGGCAAGCTAGAAAGTGAGAACTGGGTATTATCGGACAAAATGGACTGAAGGCTCTTCGAATTTTGTCCACAAATAAAGTTTATGGTTATATGAACGGAAAATAATTTCAATACAATGAGGGGTGGTTAATTTTCCCGGAGAATTTTAGTTGATGTTTTCGGATTATCCCGAACATAACGTACTTGTTGCGAGAGGCAACAGGTGGACTGGAGATTTCTTCCGTAAATATAATACCAGAACCCAGAATATAGGAATTCGTAGATATATTATAATTATCCTGGTTATAGGTTACATAGTTTAAGCACAAACGAAGTGACAGACGACTAACTGGCGAAGAAATCCATTAAAATAGTTTTCTTGGAAGCTTGTGCCATCATCCACCAGATGGGTTAGTTTTTTTGTTTTGATTTGAACAAAGTTGATTTTGTGTACAATGATTCTTTGACAGTGTGCAAAGAGTGTATCATTTTGTCATTTTTTTTATGCATTTCAGTTTTAAGTAGTGTGAAAGAGATAGAACCAAAACATTCTAATACATTTGGTGAAAATGCTAGTACAATCTAGTAGTAGTGTTGCCATATGGTACAATCTAGTAGTAGTGGCAGGGTGTCTACTCAATCCAAGGAATCAAATTCCCTGAGTTTTCCAGGTTTTTCCAGGTCGAATGAAAAAAATTCCAGGTGCATACAAATTATACAAATTATTATTTTATCTATTTATTCATCTGGAATCCCTTTTATGTACTTATTGATTTATGTTATTTTCGATTCTTCAAACTTGGGCGTTGGTACTTTTAACTTGGCACAGCAAAAAAGTTATTGAATATTACAGCAGAACAGATGCACATAGGTTGTTTAATATTAATTTGTACAATTTATGTTTAGTAAATGCACCAATAGTGGAGGTACGTTAGGACAATGTACTTCTACAGCGGCTTAGGGAGACTCTATAAGCCACCATAGGAACACATTGCACTCTAGTACCTCCACTATTGGTGCATTTATCCTACACATAATTTACGAAAAGAAATTATATCCATGGGTGTAATATTGTATTTGGTTTTTGCAATCACATTAGTTATTCATACAGTAGCATGCATTACGTCAATCAATATTACATTCTTTTTTGGTATTTGTGTAGTATTTTTTAATTCAAGAATATAAATACAAGCAAGAAACCTGTCTATTAGACTGATGCAAATTTTGAAATTTTCGCTCCACAGTGCTCAAACGGTTTCAAATCGGGTCCTGATTAGTCTCCCAAAATTTGAACTCATTTGAAAAGAAACTGGCTTGGCACAAACCATTTGAAGTTTATATGGAAATTACTATGGGAAATCCAAACTTTTTGTTCATTGTCTTCTTACCTTTTTCCATATGGCACTGTTCAAAAATTCAAAAGCTATAGTTATGGAAAATTTTATCAGCTTCAACTTAGCAGGATATAGTTGTTGAGCCAAACGTCAAATAAAATAGTTATTAATTGTTTAAGAGATTGATAATCTTATGGCATGATCAAGCAGCTGTTTTGTGAGCAACACTGTATCTTGCAGTTTGACATAGTAGCCATGATTTGTGTACTCTATTCCAAGCGCCAGTAACACCAATGTTGCCTGCTGAACAGTTGATTGAGCATAATCGTAAGACATTAGTGGCTTGAATTATTGATAAGTTTTGATGCTTACAATCTATTGAAAAGTGGTTCAGGACAAAGTTGTAGCTGAGAAAATTTTCTACGAGCTCAGTTATCATTTTTTAAAGCAGAGCGATATGGTAAATTGTTAGATGGATATGAACAAAACATTTGGTTTTCCTATAGTAATTTCCATATAAACTTCAAATGGTTTGTGCGAAGTCAGTTTCTTATCAAATGAGTTCAAATTTTGGGAGACTAATCAGGACCCGATTTGGAACCGTTTGAGCACTGTGGAACGAAAATGTCAAAATTTGCATCAGTCTACTGTCTATACTATTCGATAAAACGATATATCAAAATTTGATAACAATATGCTTTCAAAAACAAAATATCATTTTAATAATATGTTTGAGTCCAACTCTGTTTGGAAGATCAAGACAGAATAAATCATGGTTTCACATGTCTACAATCTCTTAAGGTCCGTTTAGACTATCTGATTTCTTGGTCTGATTTTGACCGCCGCCATAATGAAAAATCTGCTCAAATTTACTTTCGACACACTTTGTCGAACGGGGGGTGTTTGCTGGTGTTCACACTGCCTGCATATGTCAAAAGAACTGTCAATTTAGATTTCAAAACAAAACTGTATCAGGAATCAAAAGTAAATTCTTCCATCATGAATTACCGGAAAATTGCTCTAGTTTCGGTAGACGTATTTGATTTTATTATTTTAAATAAAATGAGAAGGAGAAGGTGAACTTTGTGGAGTAAGAAATGGTTGCTCAGGAGGAACACCGGCAGGGATCTGGCTCATCTTGTCCTTCAAGAGCTGCGATATGAAGATGAAAATGGATTTCAAAACTTCGCCAGGATGTCGATACCAACTTTAGACAAGCTAGTGGGAAAAGTTCTCACTAGATCTACATGATTCCTTGAGTTCTGAAAATTTCTGTTAACAACGCAATTCTGCAAGGTCTTCACACCTTTTGACGTCCCTGAAGTTTTGCTTCTGTTCTCCGGTAAAATTTCTTTAAAGATCAACAATCTTTCCTGATGATCTGCAAATTTCTCGGTAGTGTGTGTTCTGTGTGTTCTTCAGAAGTTCTGCAAACTTTCCTAAGAATCTACAAAGTTTCTGAATCCCTGAAGATTTAAGATCCTTGAAGATCGACAATTATCTCTGATGTTCACAAAATTTCTAATAATCTACAAACTTCTCGAAAAATCTGGAATTTTTCCGGCAGATTTTCATGATTCAATGAATATCTGCAAATATCTCTGAACATCTATACAATTTTCTAAAGAATTAAAAGATTATCTAGAAATTTTTGAGCTTTCCGGAAGTTTTAGGAAGTATTCTGAAGTTTTTCTAATTTTTCTCAAGCTGTGCAAATATCTCTTAAGATCAGCGAACATACCTGAAGTTCTGTGAATGTCTCTCAAAATCCAAGAACCGTAGTAAAATTCTGAAAATTTATTTAAACATCTGCTAATTTTTGAGTAGATTTACGATCTACCCTCTGAACTTTTCTGAAGTTCCTAAAATTTATTTCAAATTCTGTAATGTTTTCTAAAGTACTGTATTTCTGCTCTAAAGATCTACGAACTGCCCTGAAGTTCAATAAATTTCACAGTAGATCTCCGAACTTTTCTAAAGTTCTTTAAATTTCTTTGTGGATTCTTGATCTAAAGATCGGCGAACTTTCCCGAAGATCTGTTAGTTTTGCTGAAGTTTTGAATTTTTTTCTAAAAACGTACGAACTTTCTGACGTTTTACAGACTTCTTTTAAGGTTTACGGACTTCTCTGAAGTTCTTTAGATCTATCTATTTCCGACTTCCATGGAGTTCTGCAAAATATTGTATTTTTGTACTTCGCTGCGATTTGTTTTTGGAATTGAGGTGCTTTTCTGACATTTAACGAATTTTTCTGAAGATCTCACAATTTATGTGAAACTTTCTGTCAAATTCCTGTAAATATCTTTAAAGTTCTGTAAAGTTGTCTTAAGCTCCGTAGCTCTATTCCCAAAATCTACATAAAAAAACTTGAGGCTCAATAAATTTGTCAGTAGATCTTCAAACTTCTCGGATGTTTTGTTAATTCCTTTCGGGTTACCCTGAAGATTTGAAAATTTCCTTGAAGATTATCTAAAGTTGTCAAAATTTATCTGAAAATATTTGAGCTTCCTTGAAGTTTTAAATGTCTCTCTCAGAATCTACAAATTTTCCTGAAATCATGTAAATATTTTTTTTAAATTGCCGAACTTCCCTGAAGTTCTGCAATTTTTACTGAAGATCCAATAACATTTCTGAGATTCTTGTGATTTTTTCAGAAGTCCTGTAATTTTTTTTCTAAGTTCTGTAGCTTTGTTCTGAAGATCTACAAACTTTTCTGATGTTGAATAATGTTTCGAGGATCTCCAAACTTATGTGAAATACTTTATATTTCACTGTAGATTCTTGGACTTGTCTAAAGTTATGCGAATTTCCCTGAAGATTTGCAAAATTTCGCTTATAGTTTTACAAATTGATTTGAAATTATTTTTGCTTGCTTGAAGTTTTGAAAATTTCTTGAACATTGATCTGAAGATCTACGACATCTGTTGTGATTTTGTTTTTATGAATTTCTATTAATTACTTTTAATTTGTTTGTAGTTCTGTTCTCAAGATCTACGAACTACCCTGAAACTCAACACATTTCTCAGTAGATCTCCGACCCTCTCTGAAGCTCAAAAAAAAAATCTATGTAGGCTCTCAGACCTGCTGTCTGGCATGCTTATTCTTATACAATACATGACGGTTGCCAGTCTCTCTTCTTCGACTGTTTCCTTTTTACGACGATTTTGATCCTCCACATACAAATCAGCGAAGAGCGAGCGTGACAAGACTCTCTGAATGAACTTGTCTCGTTCACACACGTTGTCTTAGCTGTCAGATGCTTGTCAAGTTCAGTGCCCTTAAGAAACGTTTCGAGAAACTGAACGAAAAACTGCTTTTGAATTACGAATAAAGTGATAATTGGAAAATTCCCTGAGTGGAACCAAAATTCCCTGAATATTCCAGGTTTTTCCAGAAAAAGTAAAATTCCCTGTAAATTCCCGGTTTTCCAGGTTTTTTTCAGGTAGTAGACACCCTGAGTGGTGTTGCCATGTGGTACACTGAAAAATTGAAATAGCAGGTTAGTCACCAAAGTTTTCGAGCCGCTCCGTCTGTCACTTCGTTTGTGGTTTAAGTTATAATGTGTTGTGTATATATTTATAAGTGTGCTCT